AAGTCTAGTAAGTCATAAGGATTGACATAGATGATATCTTTGGAAATTTCTTAATGTGAACGTCCATGAGCATATTTATAAATGATCACCATGTAGAGATTTGACCCTTTTGTCAATACAGCATTGTACATAAGAATAGGAGCAGAAAAAAATTAACTTCATCAAGTGTATTCTACTTGATGGAAGCAAGAAAAAGTTGTTCAAAGCTAACCATAAGGAGGCATTCACTGAGAGGTAATCGATTTCAAACTAAAATTGTTCAAAACAAAGTCAGACTGTGCCCTATAATGAAACTATCATGTTTTGAAGACGTTGACAGTGTAAATATTTTTACTTGATGTTTCATATGAATCGAAAAATGTTGGTATTTAGAAAGATAAAACAAAAATATCGTTCAAAGTATTACAATCAAGAGAGTAACAATTTGCACTAATATGGAAAATCTTAAGCAAAAAAACACGGTTAAGCAATGATGTGGACAAAACAATGGACAACATGGGAAGGAGGTATTGGTCGCATCACTTATCTACCCTTGGCCTTATTGCTAACATTCTTATAACGATAGTGGACCTGATAGTTCCCATCTATCTTCAATATTTTTTTTTCAAGTATTTTTCTAATTCGTTTTTTATGAAAATAAATTCAATTTATGAGATAAAAATTTCATATCGAAAGAAAAAGATAGACAGACCGGCGGTTCAAGCTGCCTTTTTGAAACTCTATTGCTCATACCAGTCGTCTTGGTTAGTTCTTTGCCTACCTGAGTTTCTTTTAACCAACAGCACGACTAGAACCACAGCAATCACACCGGCTAGTAAAAGACCTCCCAGGATTGAGAAGTATATACACAGCGGGCAGCAGGAGAAGCAAAGACCAACCGGTTTTCTGTAAAGTTTGTTTTTAATGCGAGAAGGTCTTTTAATAAATTTAATCATACTTTTCTTTCTTTTTCTTTGCCGCTTTATCTCGATGATATTCATATGGCGCACTGGCCCAATCAACATCGGTTGAGTTCAACAATGAATTCATATAAAATTATCAAATAATGAAAAAGAATTTCAAAATACTCACAGACAAAGTCCACTGATTATTGGAGAACAACGAACGATCAGAATCTGTATTGCTCTAGTTTGAGATACTTCAACAAATAAGAATATGTACTAACAAATGGAAGATACCTTGTGTGATATCGGCAAACCATTGTCAAAATAATAATTTTGTCCAATATTCTGTATATCAAGATTCGATCGTTGAACGTAGTCGTTTGTTATTGAATCATTACTTTGAGACATCTAATTTACATGATATTTTATTCATAAATAAATCAATGTCAACAACGAAATAATACTTTGGTGTTTTGATTTCCGTGAATATATGGACGAAGATCGCTGAGTGCTCCAGTATCTTGCAATCTATCGGGCGAATAGTTCTGCACATTCAAGGGACGTTGTAAAGTAGTCCATGGGGTATAGACCTATTAAAAATTCACATGATGGCAACCATAATTCCCTCAAGGTGTAAAAGAACAAACCCTCTGATCGATACCACCTTCAGGTTCGATCGGCGGAGATAGAGATCGATGGCGAAAATAATAGGGGCCAGTTGCCTGAACTCTAACAGGAGTTATAATTACGTGAGGTCTTACAACTGGGTTGGATCGGTGGCGAAGATAACTGACCTAAAATCGAAGTAATAGAGCATAAAATGTGTGTTTTAAGTCGGAGTAGTTAATTTACTTGGGATTGATGATGATATGGAAATTTGATAGTATTCGGAAATGAATTATGGCTAGCATTGGGTTTTGTTGTATGAAAAGGATAGAGCGATATACTTTGTACTCTATTCTTAAAAAGAACGAAGATACGCATTTCAAACATGTTCCGAAAATAATTTTATATAATCTTACTTTCGATGGTCGTTGGCGATTATATGCGTTTCCCATTGTCTTACTTCGCCGTTCTTGCTCCGTATGTAAGTATGAAATGAGTTTTTTTCTTTTAGACGGCTTTAGATAAATATAATTCTTTTTTTCAATAAACAGAATAAATTATACTTCCAAAAATGCGTTGTCATGACTTGCTTATACATGTGAAGAACTCCGGAGTGATTTCTTTAAAAGGTCTCCATTCTCTTCTCTTTCTCTTTATTGAGCAAATCATCTTTCGATTTTTTCCATAAAAGTTGGGTTTCAACAAAAAAAAGAATGCTGTACACAAACATATGAAATAATCAAATTATTTTATTATTCAGTGGACTGACGCACGTATGTGATGGCAGTGTCGATATGTAAGAGAGAAAGGAGCTGATTTATGAAAATCGATTTCTGCCTGTAGGTGTTGTGTAGGTGTGTTTGAAGCAAGAGTATCGACTGTGGTGTAGGGTGTTGTAGCTCTTGGCCCTTGCGTGGAGCTGCACGTCAAAATTTGGAAATCTGCTCATGATGAGAATGTCGATGTCAGAATTGACCTAAAGTGTGGGTACAATTAAAACATATAATGTAGAGTATTGTTGTAAGTTGTAGCTGGTTAATATATGGCTGTGAGTTTTATTCTGAGTTGTCGACTTTGATGTAGAGTGCGTTGTTGGATACGGTGTGTGAGATGTGGCTTCGCAAATATTGTTGCCAGCATAGATGACAGCGAGAAAGTCCCCTCTTTTCCTCAAATCTAGGAGATATTACAACTAAACTGAACCACTCTAAGAGAACTTTACTCCATCAATCGTACTGATTTTCTGTAAGTTTTACAATAGAAACATTTAATTTGTTTAGTCATAAGCTCAAAGTTTCAGTTCAAATGGATGAGCCATTCACAAAATATAGATATTACAAGTACAACTACAGTGTAGGATTTGAAGAATTGTTTATTATAATACTTTTCAGTCAAGCTTCTTTTTTCTAAGCAGCAATAAGAGTCGCAAAAAGGGCTTTGTACTGGAACCCCATCCAGACCACTAGGGCTGCCTGTCTGTCACAGACAGGCAGGTTTCTTAGATTCGTTTATATTTTGTGTGATGTTCACTACATATTCAGTAGTTTGTTTGTGTATTACAAATGGGCATGTATGACTATATTATTTTATCATCAGCATATATACATTTTAAGATATTTTTGTGTTGCATATGTACACAATAATCAGAACAAGATAAGCATTTATCTACTGATTATAAGGGTATGCATGTAGATAGATGTGAGAGAAGAAACAAGCCACACCCTTTGAATGCTATTGAGAATATTCGATTAAGCGGAAGAAAGATATACCTTGTGCTTTCTTGCCTCTAGAATACTCATGTTTCGCCTTTTAAATATGCATATGCTCCTCAAAAGTTGACAAGGTAAAATATAACCTCCAAAATGCTTATTTTTTCTGGTCCAAATCAATGTATCATACTTCGAAAACAGTACTTGAAGTTTTCCATTTACACCCACAGTTTATGTGAACTCTGCAAAAAGAAATGAAACGACTGTTAACATTTAGAATTTGAAGTATAAAATCAACTCTCAATCAGATCATCAAAGATTAGTTTTTATTGTGTATACCTGTCCGTTGCCAATTTATGCAAGAATATGAATGCATTTTCATTTTGACGGTCGCTGCAAGAGAAAGAAAGATAGTTCTCAAATTTTCTTGTGCAACACAATTGCCACCGAGTGAATGCGTGAGTCTGGCTTATTATTATTTATCAAATAAAACCAACTTCGACTCGTCAATTATATTGGTTGCAATTGAACATGCCGAACCTTACTCAGAGGTACTCTTATAGCAAAGAGCGATAGCAGAGTTGCTTTTTCAGCAAGACACATCCAAAAGCCAGATGATTCTCAGTTTAGAAAGGCTGAAACACTTCGAAGAAAGTTATTCAAATATGTGTTGACACTACAGAAATCGCGTTGTGACCAGTATCTTGTTGGCTATTATATTGGTAAAGATTCAACGAGTTGTGCGCACCTTTGTATGCTCTAACATAAAGTTGTCGATTGCTTGCGCACCTAGTGTACATGAAAATAAACACATATATGCCTAATGTTTTTCTTCCCTTCTCCAGAACATGTGCAAGGAGTATACCTTTAAGCGAATTGCATGTCTAAAGTGGAAAAAAACGAAAAAATGAGTCAAACGGGCGAAGTAAATTTTTTTTCTAACTGATACTCAAACTCATCAAAGACATTGGGAAAAAGCTAGTTTATTGTAAGTATGTTCATAAAATAACATGTTTCTCAATACTATTAAGGCTGTGAATGGAAATGTTGATCTAGGTTTGGATACTGGTGTAGGTGTGAGTTAAAACATGAAGTTTGATCGATGTTTAGAACTAATCCCATATTCGGCGCTGGCGTAGATACCGACATTAACTCCTTGATGAATTGTGTCAAAAGACAGACAATTTAGAAGATTAATCATCTGTCTTTTCGAACGTTTTTTTTTATTACAATTCATGTTCGGAAAAAAAAACTTCGAGTGCTGTTGAATTGCCAATCGGTTTGAACACACAAATATCAAGCTCCAATCAATTTATTGGCAAATTTGGGGTGTGAACTTTCATTTCTCTATTATTTACATCCAGATCGACCTTGGTTCAACTCTACAATTATAATAGAATGAATCAACAAGGATAAAAAGCGCGACTTCATTACTTTGAAGTATTGAAGTCGTATAATTTGTAACTATATTGAAAATGACTATGCGATGATTTGTTTCAATAAAGATCATGACACTAAAAACAAAACAGGCTGCGAAAATTTAGAACATATTTCTTAAGATTTCGGATCGTTTTATGAAAGTCAACGACATTCTTGTATCGTGCTACATTATTACGAAGAAAATATTCGAAGTCTACTGTAGAAAAATGCATGTGCGACTGATTTGATGAAAATCTATTTTCGCATTGAGCCCGTGCATTCATAATAGAACCCTTGTATTGCAGTGTTGCATATAGTATTCGAATTCTAATAATAAAATTACATTGTATTATAACCATTCTATAAAAGTTCATTATAGTCCCGAATTGTGAAACTATGATTAAATCTAGCCAAGATCTAACTAAACCTATGGCATTTTTATCATAAATCTCGAGATTATTCTCTTCAGATCTTATCGTAAAAAACGAATTTCTTATTCATTTCGAATTAGAACACCCGAAAAGTACGCGTATATATGAGGATGTACGTGCTGGGTGCCATGATGTAAATCTCCTCTATATTAACGCCCACACCCGCACTCTTCGAGTACTGAGTTATTCTAGTAAAATTAAGACAATGTCAGGCAAACAAAACTAAAGCAACTGATCGAATACGGGACTCCCGTATGTAATAGAAAAGATAAATTGTTCAATAAAAAGAAAAGAACCCAGATCGAATACAGAGTTATTTCACTTTTGTGGACTATCAATGCATGAGAAACTCATGTATCGTCCAAAGAAGTATACAGACTAAGCACAACTTGATGATCGTTCTTAGTTCAGTCAAAGTTGAAAAAATCTCGGTAATATTTCTTAGAAATTCTGTTTGATAACGTAAATGCATACGAATCTCATGCCACATTTGTTGATTATTTTCTTGTTGCTGTTGAGAGTTCATATTATCAGTTGTTGACGATGGTGGATGGTAATCTAACATTAGTTGATGAATGAAACTGTCAAACATCGAAAGTTCCTCTTCCGTAATCGTTTCTGAATGATTATCAGTTTGGTTCATTCTTGCTCTGAATCCAAGAATAATAGTTCGAAGAGCTCCATACATATGTTGATTATCGATCGAAGTGCTTGGCAGTGGAGCGGACATTATTGGTGTGCTCAAGGTGCTGTGATTTGATTCTGAAAGATAATAACAATAAGAAATATGAATTTAAATTACGATTGCAAACAACCCTATTGAATTCTTATTAATATGTGTAGCAAACATACTCGAGTCTTCTGTTGAAAATATGATCTCTCTTTTGGACGATGACTTATCGAGAGATAAACGTGTTAATTAATAAATCAATACTTTTGTCAAAGAGACAACTGGAATTTTTACCAGTTTTTTTTTATAATATTATAAATAGATAGTGTTAAGATGAAAATTGTTACTATTTAATGTTCCCAGATTATTAATAGATGCTAATTGGAGAAAGAAAACATATCTAACTAACATTCATTCAATTTTCGAAAATAAACAATCAATCCTTATTGTTTATTTACGTGAGAATGTTCATGTGTGAGGTTTTCTGCTATCACATACACTCAATCAAGATTAAAACCATTGCAAAGCATGACGACTCTTGAAAGTTTCTTCAAGTATTCGTAAAACTTTACTATGAAAAAACGAATGAGAATAGTGGCTCATAATAGAAGACCCTTTTGAATATTGTATGTGCTGAAACATAATTGAAGAACTAGGACTGTGGGGACTAATGTAGTACGTAACAGTCAAAAAGATAATAAAGCTTGTCTATTGTATGTAATTATAATTATATTTTCTTAAAAGTACATGATTCAAGCTAGCAATGCGTTCACATATGTAAAACTATTTTTTATTTCTCGTTTAATAGTCGTTATGTGAAATGAAATAGATATTAAATCTAATTTGAGTAATTTCGTTTTATGAAGTTTAAAATAAATTTGATATGCATTAAAAATTAAAATTTTTCAATTTAATATTATAGAATATTCTATTTTTATTTATATGTTCTAATTAATAAAGCTTTTTATAAAATCGCAACATATTTTGGCAAGTGTTTGATATTTCTCAGACATTGAAATTATATCGGCTTTTCTATGTAACAAGGTACAGTACAAATTCAAATGAAACCAATAGTAGACATTCTTATTTACCTGCATTTGTCTGTAATTCAGTCTCGATATGTCTGATTTGACGAACCAACCTTTCAAAATCATCGTTGTATTGACCCGGTGAAGAAAAATCACAATACAAATGATCACTAATTATAAATCCAAGCCAATCGGTAGCACGAAATGGTGCTTCCATACGACATGGTATGTATTCAATACCACGTCGTACAGTATAGCAAGCTTCTAAAATGTATGTAATTTAATTCTTAGTACATTATGATAAAGATATTCGAAAGGATAACCTTTTCTACAAAAGTCACTTGCAGCATATTGACGATTGAAACATATAAGAACAATGTAAGAATTTTCGACTGCTCGAGCTAATTCATTATAAAGTATATTTCCATTTAAGTCATCCTCATCCATCCATACGTCGTAGCCTCGATTCTATCAATAGAAGGAATAGAAAATTTTATACAGATAAAACATGTTTATATTCACTCTAAGTTCAATACAGATTCTTTGACAAGTGTCGAACGACGATCTACGATGATAGCTTATCATGATACGTCGTCTGAATATGGGTTGTGTGGATGTAATATTATCAGTCGTGACAGGTGTTTGAGTTTGTGATTCACCTTTTAATGGAATAATACAAATGTTGTTATGCATTGAATTTCGAGCTCATTTTTCTGCATACCCAATGGTGTGGAAGGTTGCAACTCACTGTGCTGATTTTCAAGGTGCACACTTTCAACTGATTCAGAAGTTCCAACGACATTTGGAGCTGAACAACAAAATGAATCAATATATGATTTCAACGATCTTTCCTACTAACTGTGCTCTGTCGGAGATGGCGCCGGACTTTCACCTATAGATGTGCCCAGATGAGTAGAGTCGTTTAACAAGGCCAGGTCGATGTTTGTATTATCGTTGACTGTGTCTGCAAAAGTGAATCATTCATATGCAACTAGATTTTTAATATTGACAATAACTCACTGGTATCTGGTTGAGTAGATAGATTCGAATCGTTTTCACTACTAATTGACTCTCCCTACAAGTGATCAATTCTCTTTTGCATTGAAAACTGTTCACATAATTCATAGAGATCAGCTTACTGCTAGTATCGGAGCAGCGATAAATTCAATATTTTCTGATGCTGCGCATTCTTCTACATTGTTCGATGAAGCCATGTTTCACTATTGCTATAAAAAAAGACAAATAATGATTATATATAGATATAAATTCACACCACCAAAGCGTAAAAGCCGTATTTCCAACTTTTATCATGTAGGCCATTTTGTTTCCTCTGTTCTTTTAACTCAATGAGTCATCAATGAAACTCGGATGAATCAAAAAACAAAATTCTCATTTCATTCACATCTTTGGAAATATCCACGATTGCTCTTTCGGTTTTTTCACATTACGATACAAAAGCAAGAAAAATAAAAGATTGGAAAATTATTTCTGGTAGAAGAAAAAAAATCTTGCTCCTTTCGACTCTACTAAAGTACATTTTAATGAGTTTTTATTAAGTTTTTTTGTGAACTGTTTAATTTTCTTTACTTTTCAAAATGCTTTCTTTAATAACTTCTTGATACATACTAATCATCGGTATATATAAAGGATGCCCCAGAAATTCTGATAAGTTTTAAAAATTCATCATTCTCGCATTTAACAAAAGCAACGTCTTTGAAACTTTGATAGATTATTGGATATTCTTAATACTACATGACTACAAAGTTTCAGGTGTATAGCTTGTACTATGGATGATAATATGTAACAACACTATCATGTACTATTTCTTCAAATTTCCCTATGAGTTATATTAACAAAATTCAATATAAAAATCACTCAACAATCTCCAGTTTTTATCAATGAATGGTTAAAGCTCATCAGGCCACAAGTTAGTGATAGTGTTAAGAAAAGTATTTTATTGATAACTTATATACAAAATTTATTCAAACTAGTGTAGCACGAAAAACAACTAAAGAATTAGTAATTCACGAAATATTATTTTTTAAAGATGATCAAGATCATAAACAAAGAGTAGCTTTGGATGTCGATAAACATGTTTTTTTTTCATAAAATCGAAGTGAATCAAAAAATTGTGCTGCAAAATTAACCGACGTTTGGCCTATAGAAAACGTTTGGATGCACTAAAATGGAAATTACCAGGGCGGGAATAAAGTTCTATTGAACAATAAAAAAAAACGACAGTAAAGAGGAATGGAACAAATTTAGTGTCTAATAATCTATCAAAGTTTCAAAGACTGCTTTTGTTGAATGGGAGGACGATGAATTTTTAAAACATATCAGAATTTCTGGGACACCCTTTATATACACATGGCTCATCGATCAAGCGAAGAAATAGCTTTCCCAAACATCTTATAATTGTTCGTCTTGAAAAATAAAATCGAACATTCACTCGTAATCAAAGGTCCTTCAAGACTTGGTTTTGTTAAAAACTGAGACAGAAAAATCATTTTTGTTATTCAAAAATTAGGAAAAAAAGCAACGAATATTGACTCGATAATCCAAAATATGGTGAGATCTTGAAATAAGAGTATTAAAAGAGTAAGAAAAGCATGTGTTTTTGCTTCAAACACTTACATGTATGGTTTTACTCTTGACAGTAATGTGTCGCCGTCGAAAGTTTGAAAGAAAGTTGCTTTTTCATGTGTGGTGCAGAGTACACGTTATTCACAATTTAAAGAATTGGAGAATTGCACAACTATTCGATGTATTCTACACTACAAGCAGCAATGCATATACGGGTGCGGGTTTTGGAGAGTAGCATATTCATACCGACATCCATACTCCGTAATGAAATTTTTAATTATAAAACGGACACTATAATCAATTATTTTGGAAAATAATTCATAGAATTCATATGATGCAAAACAATTATTTCTTAATCAAAATGATTGAAAATTAATCGAAATAATGAATTTCATTTGGTTTTTTAAAATGTATCAAAATAGCAAAATCAATATATTTCCTTGCTAGGAAGTGAACGTTCTTTGCACTGCAAAACAAACTGGTGATTTGCGTTTTATGCTTATTTGTTTTGTAAGAAAATTTCATGCACAATACTACAAAACTAGCGACTTTTGAACTAGTCTTCATGAATTGCTATTAACTAAAGACCATAGGAATCGTTTCGCAATTACAGGATTGATCGCAAAAACATCGAGTTTTTTTTTACAAGAATTTTTAGAGATTGCGTATCGTTCCGAAAACACAACTTTACATATAACCTGTCTGAAACTTTTACATATGCATCATAAGGAAGCGATTATTTGAGCCGATAGTTCCAATAGAACGAGCTTCTTATTACTAACTACCTTTCGCAACATTTGAACTCGGTTTTTTAGCAAAAGCTATAAAAAGAATTATGTTTCGAAGCGAATGTTGATGCAATATGAGTAACTACAATGAATCATAAAGAAAACAAAAAATGGATGAAAAAAAAAACAATGAAAGAGAGTGTATGTTCTATAGGTGTCGATAAAAAGCGTGTGCAACAGCGAAAAAGTGTTTCGTTGTTTAAAGTCTTCTAGAAAAGAGTCCAATAGACAAAGAACAAAAAGAGTAGATCATTGCAAATTATGAAAAGTACATAAAATTAGGAATGTAATGAAAAAACGTTTCCAGAATATCACTGCTCTCATTATGAGATTGTGAAGCCAACTCATTTTAGAATTTTCTTAACTTCATGAATATCTATTTGACTCTCACAATGAAGTTACAGGTCGATCGACACTTGGGAATGCTCTAGTGCGAACAGATAATGATGACAACTCAGAACTAATGTATCCAGTGTAGTTTTCAGTAGAGTGTCTGTTGTTCTCATTCTTGTCTTACGAGGGAAGGTCCCCAGGTGCCACGCTCCGTTTTGAATCGGACATATGCCATTTTGTAGAGCTCAGTGAGACTAGCAAAAGTTTAAAAGGGTTCTTCCCCATGGGCCTTGGGAGTCGAGT